TGAGGGATGAACTGAGGTCATATTAGGTGCTAACTATAGGTGAAGAGCAGTTTCCAAAGTAGTGACGCCACTAGTGACTACGAAAGCATGGAACCACACAGACATGTTGTCCCTCTCCTAGCCACCGCCCACGACAGGCGTCACCTCCCCCACTCACCTGTTTCTCAGCATGCCTTCTAAGCAGCCATTACAATGGGTTCCCTTTGTTGTGGGAGATAAAACCTCTCAGGGCCACAAAATAGTGTCTGACTGCCACCACACCTGCCACTATTGCAGGTTTGTGGAGCAGGAAGGACTCCATGAAGAAGACAGGGATGCACAGAGAGCCAGTGCCAGAGACTTGAACCAGACTCCAGGGTCCAGGAATCCAACATCATCAGGAGGGAGTAATAAAAGTGAAGCAGGTGGGGTAGGAGTTTTGCACAGATGGACCATCAGTTCGTAACATCTGTTTGTTTGTCTGTCCTTTGCCCCAGTTTATGCGTTGGCTAAGGTGAGCAGCTGGTGCCTGACCAGCTTGGAACGATGTGCACGTTCTAAGAACTGCACTGTGTGCTACCACCAGTGAGTCAGGCTGGACTCCACAGGTGCTGGCACTGGTGCTGGTGGGGCCTCAGGTAGAAAGAAGCCAGGGGCCTCCCTAGGATGCCACCATCTCAAGGGTCTGTTCAGCTCACAGGGCCCACCAAGGCCAGAGCAGAAGTCCCGGCTAGGAGGAGGAATCCCTTGCTATGACGTTGGTGTCTTTTAAGATACCTGGTGGCAGGCATAGAAGGCCCTCAAGTGTTAGAATAAACCAGTGAGTACAAATGCTAAGGACACAGATTGACATAGACCAGGCTTTCCTTCATATTTGACCTTGAGGGAGAGAAGCAGAGTTTTCCAAATGGGGAGCAAGAAGAGCTCTGCTCATCAAGCTGTGTCTCTAGAGCGAATCCCATGGGAACTACTGATGAAACAAAGGAAAACACGTCTCTCCTTCCAGCCCCTCAGAGCCTGGATGCTTAGATGTACTGTGAATATTGGAGATGAAGCCTAGCATGCATCATTTCCTGAATTTATTCACTCATGGAAATGCTTAGAGATTCCCACCAGTATCTCATGGGACTAGCGTTCCATAGAAGCCAAACGTGGTGGTGCACATCTGTAATCCCAGATACTTGGGAAGGGGAGGTAGGAGGATTGTGGTCCAAGGCTAGCTCAGGCAAAAAGTGTGAGACCCTACCTGAAAAATAACTAAAGGAGTGGGGGTGTGGCTCAAATCATAGAGCACTTGCCTAGCGAGCAAGGAGCCCCTGAGTTCAATCCCCAGTAGTGCAAAGGCAGAGAGAGAGAGAGAGAGAGAGAGAGAGAGAGAGAGAGAGAGAGAGAGTTTTCTCTGGTGCAAGTGCTCTGCTGCCTGGTCCTTCCACATCATCTGCTCACTCCTGCCTCCACACGCTTGCTTATGCTGCACCTGCCCCTCCATCCATATTCTGCTATCCTGAGTCCCACTCACTCCACAGTCTGTCACGGCCCCTGTGGAACTTGTAATCACTTGCTGCTTTGGGTCTTCTCCATGACATGTCATTTCTCTGTGTCCTCCACAGCACACCATACCCAGGCAGGGTGCTCCAGGAGCACGCCTCTCATGGATTCAGGCTGCTGCAGGTGTGTAGACTGACTCTGCCCTGCCGACAGGTGTGACAGGTGTGAAACCTCCTGGCCACCTCTTCTCCCTTTCATCCATGCATCCAATCAGGAAAGTTGTTCTCTGCCTCTGCAACTCTGCTCCTGTCCTCTGCAAGGAGCTGGGACAAGAGGGACAGCAACCAGTGGGCTTATTTACATGCTATCTTCCTCTGAAATGATCCAGGGGGCATTTTCTTATTTAATTATTAATGCCCTGAATCAGATGCTGCCTGAAATGTTAACCTCTGTCACTCCAAATGGAGTCGGCCTAATAACCACGCGGCAGGATTGATTTTCCCTCATTCGTCTCGTAAGAATATGTCTTTGAGATCCCTCTTCCGAGAGAGCTGGGAAGTCCCATTAAAGTGACTTGGTGGGGGAAGTTTCTCCACGTGGTGACAGCTCCTTTCTGGCTGTTCTTCTCTCCTCTGGAGTGAAATATCTGAGACAAGCTGAAATCGTTTTTCTAAGATCAGTTTCTGGAAGGGCAGCCAAGAGCTCGACCCCTCCTCAGGGTGCTTACAACATGTCAAAAAGATAAAATAAGCATGCTTGGAAGGTGTCAGTGTGGATGGGGTCAGTGGCTCAGCTGAAAGCCACCTGCTACAGCTGCCTGGGACACAGCAGGCCTCCACCCGTGCCCAGCCCTTAGCCCAGCCCTGCAGTGGAGTGGAGAATATTTGGATACACAGAGTTGGGGACAGAGGGCAAGGGAAGTAGTAGTGTGAGTCAGATCTGGCGGGGGAGGGAGCAGGAGTGAGCCCAGCCTGGTGTAAGAGTGTGCTAAGGGTACATCTGCTCACTGGTTGGTTGATTGATTGACTGCAGTGCTAGGGACAGAATAGGGCCTTGCACATGATAGGCAAGCATGCTACTACTGAACCACTCCGCAGCCCAGGATGCACCATTTAGACTGGGCCAGTTTCCAGCTGAAGGGTCTGAGGGGAGTGGTCTCTTCTACCCGTAATGCTGGACATCTGTCTCTCCCTGCCCACGTCCAGAGGTGGTTTGACTTCAGATGGGACCTTGCTGTTTGTCGAAGGCTAGAGTATGAATCCCGGTGCCCTACTCTGAAGACACTTACAGAGTAGTCAGGAGTCTGAATGCGTCCTCCCTGGCTGCAGCTTTGTGCTCCACTCCATCCATCTTCCTGTGTGTTCATCCAAACTCCCATCACCTTCTCTGTGTCCTGGTGTCCAGGGATCTCCCTCCCAGTGGGAGACAGGTGAATTGTCCTTGTCCAGACCTGACTTATTAAGAAGGGTTTTTGTGAAGAGTTAGAAGGATCTCACAAATTATAGCAATGACCCAGGTGACCTCCTCCACCCATCACCAAGGGTCCAAAGGAGCCAGAGGACCCATCTCTTGTCCATGTGGGTCCCACTTTGGTAAGTCTGAAGTTGCCAGCCAGGGGTCCCCTGGGGAGAATGCTGGAGATAACAGGAGCTGCCTAAGTCAGAGCCAGGGCCATGCAGGGAACATAGACAAGGCTGTCCCCACAGTTGGCGCTCAGACTCCAGGGCACTGTGTCTGTGGCTCATTTCTTCATTTGATGCCTGACCAGCTTGAACCTGTCCGTGGAAAAGGTGTGCATGACCCTCCCGACTCTTCCAGCACTCTGGGCAGGCTTCTTGTAGTATGGTTGATTTTCCTAGAGGAGAGTGGAGTGACGTGATCACCGAGGTCCCTGGCAGCCTTCACACTGTGAGGACCCTGGGTGGTGTGGAGTGGCTGCTGAGGTGCCAGTGGCTTCTGGGCCAGGGTAGGCCAGGGCATGGGGGGCGGGCAAGAGTGACTGAGCTTCTGGGGCTGTGCAAATTGGGCAAGAACCCCAGAATTCTTCTCTTTCCTAAGGAATTGTAGGATGCATTTGATCTGCATTTAACTCTCATTAATCATGAATTTGGCCCCCCATGGGTATAGAGAATTGTGACAATTTGTTTATCCTTTGAAGGAAGCTGCTTAGAAGACTTTAACAAGGAAATTACCGGAGTGGAGAGGAGGTTAAACGCATGCAGTGTAGCTGGACTGTGTGCACACGTAGGGGGTGCAAAAATACAGGTCATTTTTATCTGTCCCTCAAGGACGATGTCATTCCTCATCTGGAAGTGTCAGATCCTCAACCACTACAAGCTGGGGACCCCTTTCCAATGTCAGAATATTTCTGTAACACCCCTGCTCCTCAGTTATTATAAGTGGCATTTTTTAGTGTCACTGGTTGAGAGGAAAAGCTGCTCTGCATTCAGTAAAGCTTTTAAACAAACCACGATAGTATCTGTGGACACATGAAAAATAGTGCTATCTCTGTGAGTTGTGACGTGCCTTCAGTTTACAGATGGCACTGGGACCCAATGGCTTCCAGCTCCTCTGCCACGCCCCTCCCACTCCCTGTGCCCAAGGTTCATAACCCACCAGGTGGGAACGCTTGGACTGGAGTCTGTTCTCTGGGGCACTAAGGCCGCAGAGTGCTAGGATAGGAAGGAACTGCAGGGGCCACCTTAGCCATCCCTGCCCTACTCTGTCCTCTTCAAGGAGCCACTGAGGGAAGAAGGGGGTCGTCGGCATCTGTGTATGCACACTGAACACCTACCACATGCTGTCACTTCAGGGGCCTATATCTAACTGGGCAAGCTATGCCTTTGAGCCCCTTACAGGCTCTGTCAACCCTCATACCACAGTGGGAATGACATGTGGTGACATTTGGTGATTGCATCACTCTGGGTGTAGTTGGTAAGTGTCCCCTAGCAGGCGAGAGAAGCAGGGTCTAGGCTTCAGGGCAGCTAGTGGCCAAAGTGCCTAGAAGGGCTTCCTCAGCTCCCTTCTCCAGGGTCATCTCAGATACCTTTCTTCTCTTCCTTCGTGGCAGGAGGGAGCGGGGAGAGGCAGTGGATGGGCAGGCTTGTCAAAGAGACAGGGGAGGTGCTGCTGTGGTAGCCAGATCCAAGCTCCTTGAGTCAAGGATAGGCCTGGAGGCCCCAGGACACCCTGAAACTGTAGCCAGATGAGCTCATGGAGATATTTTTCTGGGGAGAAGGTCTGTAGATTTCAAAGTAGTCAAAAACCGTTCAGAACTCCTGGCCTGGACTTTCAACTTTTCCCTGACTCAGGCTTCCCCCTCCGCAGTTACTCAGAACTGGTGAGCTGTTAACTGTGTTAGTCAAAGCCTAAAAGTGTAAAATAGCAAATGCTCGTTACGCCACAGCGATGGGAAACTTGGTTTGTTTAGTGGACTGCTTCACCACTCCTTTTGACAAGTCTCAGCACCAAAAAGATGCCAGACACACGCTCTGAGTAAGACACTGCCTCTGCTTTCTTCCCCACAGGTCCAGATGGCTCTTTCTGTGGTGGACCTGGTTGTCTTCACCCTCCTGCAAACTGCCCTCTCGCTGAACCCTGAGGACCCCAATGTGTGCAGCCATTGGGAGAGGTAAGATTTGTGACACAGAGCCAGCACCCTCTGGGGGCTGGCCCTGGGTTTGGCACTCTGGGGACAAAAGCAGAGTCAGGAAAGGCAGAGCTGGCTATGAAGGGCTTACAGTCCATCTGAGGACACAGCTCAGATGCTGAAGGACAGGGCCAGGCAGAATAGAGTGGAGGCAGGGTACATTAACCGAAGTCAACAGTGTGCTGTCCTTTCTCTCCCTGAGTTTGCTCTTCCCACCCATATTACAGATGAGGAAGTAGAGACCCAGAGAAGCTCAATCCCTGTCCATAGTCAGATGGGTTGCATGGAGTAAGAGACATGGTCCCAAATGTCATGCCGTGTCATGCTGTGCTGTCTGTCCTGGTCTCCTGGGATTGGCAGCAACATGGCAGCTTGGATGAGTGCCAGTGGCCACCTTATTAAGGAAGGTCCAGGGAGGGCCCTACTGCTTCTGGTCTGGTGGGGGTGGGAGGTTGCCTGGGGAAGGGTGACTGAGGCCACAGCAGAAGTGCCGGATGCATTCTGACTGCAGCACAAAGTCCTGAGGAAACAGGGTAGGTCCCTGCAGATGGTCTGACTTTGAAGTACAAGGTGAAAGTATTGATTTTGGTGAGCAGAAAGACAGTGACCAGAGACCCAATCAGGAAAAACCAAATTAAACCCTGGAATTGATTGGCCGTGCTGACCAGAACGACTCTGCCACTTAGATGCTAATAAATCAAATGAATAAAATTAAGATGAAGGCCCAAAGGGGAGGAGTGGATGGCAGAAGAGGGAAAGCAAGTTGGGCAGTCCACACACCATGCCCATGAGGGTGGGTAGCTGGCCTCATGGTCCTTATCTCGGCAGGACTGCGCTCTTGGGTAGCCTGGACACTTGTGGGCCAGGAAGGTTGGCTGGAAGGCACAGGGACAGTGCCTGTGATCTCTAGTGCCGATGTTCTACATGGAGTCTTGCCAAGGTCAAGACTGAAGCAAAAGGCAGTGCTTGGGACCATGAGGGAAAAATACAGTCCTATCTAGACGACTCAGGGCATCCCAATCTGGACTTTCCTACCTGCTAGCTGTGTGCCTTTGGGGAAATCCCTGAACCACTCTGAGCCTACTTTCAGCTCTGCATATTGAAGGGAATAATTACCCATGCTGCACAGGCTTATTGAAGGATCAAGGGCACACGTGACATGAAAGTGTTCTGAGGACCGTAAAGCTCAATTACTGTCTTCTTCTGGTTATCACAGGCATTAGTACACGTCACACAAGGGTGGGGAAAGGTTTGATTCTGATTTAATGTTGCATTTTTCATAAGCTTTCCCATGATTCTGAGGTTACTCTGGCCCCTAGCTCCTCCTGGTTTTAGTGAATTTAAACCTATAGTTCCCACTGGGTCAGAGAGATATCAGGTAGAACTAGTCTCTCAGGTTTAGCCTCCAGCCTCAGATAAGACATTCTGTGGCCCGGCCAGGGTTGAGACACAGTTGTTTCCTTCGCTTCTCTGTGCTGTAGCCGGGCCTTAGAATGTTCCCTTCCTGTCTGCTCACTACTGCCTCCCCTGTGGCTCCAGCCTGGGTTCCTCTCCTCCGGTAGCCTCTCCTGGTGGCAGGGCCACAGTGAATCCATTCAAACTTAACCAAACCCTCCAACCTTCTAAACCTGCCCAACGCAAACAACTGTAGAATGAGAAATACTGGGAGTGAGCTGGGGCTCAGCTGAGGTTGCAGCCTGCATGGGAGGACAGGGAGCTGAGGTCTGAGACCCTCTGGACTGTCCTGCCCCAGGGAGGTGACCTTGCCAGTGTTGCCTATTGGCACCAGGTTCCTTCTGTTTCTTGGCTTTTCCAGTGGAGCTCCTCTGCAAGTTGTATGTGAATGGATCTAGCCTGTGCCGTTCCAGAAACACACTCCGGTCCTCAGAGATTGCTTAGGGAGAATTTCCCAGCTTGATTAGCACTTCTGATGGGCTCCTTGTTAATTATACCCCTCCACCATAAAACCCAGAGTAGGGACCTCCCCTCGGTAGTAAAGCCTGGCTCTACAAGATTAATCTGGCCCCTCATTAGCATGTTGGCAAACGAGCAGTATTAAACCACCCAGCCATGAAACCAGGGCACAGACTCCAGGTCGGACACTTGGAGTTGGTACAAGACCTTGTTGCCAGACTTGTCTAGCCCAGAGCTTCCTTCAAAGTGGGGTACATCCTCGTGACACCCCTAGTCTCCTCTGATGGGATGGTGCTTTTTCCCTTGAGTGTCCACTGCCCCTGTCAGTGCCATAGAGGAGGTTGGGCCCCCAAGTGTTTACCAAAGGCAGAGTCCATTTTGTATGGTGGTTGGGGAAGATGAATCCTTCAGGGCTTAGCACAGGAAGTGAACCATGGCCTGTCGAATAGTGGTGATGGCCAGCATCTTAGACACTTACTGTGTGCCCAGTAAGCATTTTACATGTGTTATCTTATTACCTTGCTTTAGCTTCCCTCTTTCCTGCGAGGTGAATGCTATTATTGCTGTTTGTTAATATCACAATAATTACATGAATCCCTGATGTTATTTACAGGTAAGGAAACAGAAGATTATAGGAGTTAAATAACAGATCTAAGGACATGCTAGCAACCAACAGGCTTCAAACTTGGCCCCATGTTTTTGGGTTCCAGAGCCTAGGCAGTCTGGAAGTGACTCCTGCCTCCAAGTGACATACTCTGAATATGTGCCATGGGATTTCAGAGTTGAAGAGGCCTCTGAGAGTCCTGGATGGGTGTTGAGCTGCCTCAGTTTCCCTAGGGCTGAAGATGAACAAGGGTTTGGGTGGTATCTGCATAGACTAGTGCCCCTGGGGCACATCTCTGGTGTGCTTGCTGGTAGGGCACACCTAAAGCCGTCCATACATCCTCAGGGAATCAGGTAGAACTCCCCACTACCAGGTCTCTGAGCACTGTTCCTAGCCTCCTGCTGACCTTTGACCTTGCCAGCATCAGAGAGTCTGGGTGGACCCACCTGTGCCCAGCCCTGTTGCAAATGAACCAATTCAGTTTCTCCAGGCAAAGCAGACTGGCTTTTATAGCCTGGACCCGGCCATCTGGTCCAGGTTGGCTAGCCTTCTGGGGAAACACTGAATACACAGCCGATATGACAATTAACTTCTGAGCCCACAGCTGAGTGCTTCCCAGCCCACACAAGTGCATGCCATACTGCAGTCCAGGCCTCGGTGCCATCTCGTGCCAGGGCACGGGGGAGCTGCTTAGTCTGCTGCAGCTGAGCTCTGCTTTCCCAGGACTGCTACCTGCTGGTCCGGGTCCCAGCTAATAGGCAAGATAACAATTATTCTTCTACCAGAAGATCTGGGACATGTTCTCCAACTACACTAGAGGGTGAGTAGGCTAGAAGGTGGCTGAGGGAACTTGGGAAAGTCACTATGCTGTTTTATGTTTAGTCACCTTGTCTGCAGCATGAGAATAACATTTCTACCTATTTTATAAGACCATCTGCAAGTTGAAAGGGATTAAAATGTTTAACATAGGACACTCAATAAATCAATATTAGCAGTTATTGATAGCTGTGTGAGCTGGAACAAGCTGCCGCTCTGGGCCTCAGTTTCTTCATCTATAAAATTCAACCACACTTCATAGAGTTGCTTCAAAGATCAACTCCCATGAACAACAAAATATATTAACAAACGTGTTAATATATTATTATTATTATTTTAAAGGAGAGGTCTTGCTGTGTTGCCCAGGCTGGGCTCCAACTCTTGGGCTCCAGCACTCCTCCTGCTTCATTCTCTGAGCAGCAGGGCCCGTAGGCACAAGCCATTGTGCTGGGATAATGTAAAATAGCTTAAAATTTGTTATCTCTGCCTTCAGAACCAACTGAACAAACCTAAACCCTCCTTTACTCACTCTCTGAGTGAACTAGAACTTCAGAAAATCAGCTGAGCCAAAAATGTCAGTAAGGATGTATCCTAGGTCCAGCCTGGGTAAGGAGACAGGTGGAACCTGGCCCTGGGGCTATGGGTTGGGCAAACAGGAGTGGGGGGGGTGGGGTGGGGGTAAGGGGGTGGGGGGGTGTCCTGACCATGGGCTTGGCCTCTCTAGTGCTGATGCTGTTTCTGTTCCTGTCTGGTCCCCAGCTACGCTGTGACTGTCCAGGAGTCATATGCACACCCCTTTGATCAGATCTACTACACACGCTGCACCGATATCCTCAACTGGTTCAAGTGCACTCGGCACCGGTGAGTGCCTCCCTCGGAAGTGGGGCAGGGGAGAGGTGCTGGTGCTAGGGCTTGTGTGTCACAGGTCAGTAAGAGCTCCCTGGAGAAGATGCTGCCCTGCACTGCTCACTCTGTCTGCATGCTGACCACCTGAGGTGCTCTGCTGGCAGCTTTCTTCTGGCCAGAGGAGCTTTTGTGGGAAGGGCATGCCTCAAGTGCCAGAGTTGATGCCCTTGGGAGCGGGGGTGGGGAGGTGGGAGGGGTCCTCAACCAGCTACAGATGGGGAGTTGGTGGATAAGCAGCTCTCTTCCTCACCTTCAGGTTGTAGCTTCCCATTGGTCCCTAGCAAATGGAGCCTGAGTTGCCCACACAGTAACCTGCTCAAAAGCACAGCCTGCATTGCACTGGCTGCCTCTACTTCCCTGTCTCACTTTCCCCCTTCCTCCTTCTAGTGCTTCTTAGGATCAGCTCCCAAATAATCTGCTTGTACTTGCATCCTTGTCACAGAGTCTGCTTCTAGAGGAAGTACTTACCTCAGACAGCCCCTCAGAGCAGATGTAACCCAGGCCAGGACATCTGGCTTGGGGAGCAGAGTGAGGGCTTGCATTCAGCAACCTCCTGGCACCTTGACCAGGAAACTCTTGGCAGTGTTCAGCACGAAGGGTTGCACGTGATATCCTGTGTCTGCGGCCCTCCTGCCAAGCCTGCCACGCACTCATGTCACTGCGTGGAGGGAGGAGAGGACGGGAGAAAGGACACATCTTTGAGGGATGACCCTGGACATGACCCTGTTTTGAAATGAGCATTGCACTCGTCAGTCCTTGCTGGTACCTATCATGTACCTATGCAGTGAGGCCAGTGAGGCCAGAAAAGTGCGGGGCACAGCATGCATCATGATTTGAGAAGTGAGGAGCAGCAGATGAGGGGTAAGTTAGGGAACAAGGGTGAGGCCGCACACTGGGCTCCTTTCCTAGCTGGTGAATGTCTGTGTTGGTTCAGATCTCTTTTTTGCATTCTCTTATCAATTCAGTCCCTTTCTGGGGTTTATGCATGATTTATGGCGGGCAGCAAGGTGGATGGAGAAACTTGCTTTGTGCTGAAAGCTAAAAGTCCTGGTTTTCTTTGATAAACTTAGTGTGAGACGTTGAGCCTAGCTATAATATCTGCTTTGAAATCCTTGTCTGCTAACTCCAGCATCAGGGTCTTCTCAGAGTTGGCCTTTATTCATTGCCTTTTGCTAGCGTATAGATTGTATTTTTCAGTTTCTTGACATGCTAATAATTTTGGATTGTTCGGGACATTACTCATGCAATATCGTAGAAATGATTCTGTTACGATCCTCCTGAGAGTACAGGACTTCTTTATTTTATTTATCTGTTTGTTTTAGCAGCCAGTTAATGGGCTAAACTTAAGTTCCCACTCCTAGCTGGACTGCATAGAATCTGCCCTCCAGACACACCATTCAGGGGCTTGAAGTTTGAGTAGAGATTTTACAAAGATTTTGGGTTCCCTCTTCATGCCTCTCTTCTTTCTGAGATTTCTCTTTTCATGTGACAAGTTCCCGGTCCCCCTTGGACTTGTCTGTGGTTCTTCAAACCAGGAAGTTGTGTGTTTTCGCTCTGAATTTTAGCCACCTAGAGTGTTGTTGGGCTAACCTGCCAGGACCGCTCCCTTCTTCTGCATGTTCACTCCTCCCCAGTGCCTGCCCACCTTTGTTCTTTCTCCAGTGCCTGTGCTTGCAGGAAGTCACTTTTTATATTTCCCTCCAGGTTTCATAGTTGTTATTTGCAGAAAGGTCGCATCTCCTTCCTCTAGCCTTTGACTGTGACAAGCAGAGGTGGGACTTGATGCTCCCTTCTGACCTCCCTCAGTTTTGCCAGAGTTGACTGCCTGTGTCCTGGCTTGTTCCTGAGCCCTGACAGCCCTGTGGCAGTGCATGTTTGCTCTGAGGTGTGGCTCTGCTGGTACTTGGTGCTTGGATGTGATGGCTGCTGTCCATCACTACTGGACTGGATGAGTGAGTGGCTGCTTATTAAAACAGGCTATATTCCTGGAACATGAGTTATTTGGCTGAATTATTGAGTCGCTGTGCAGCTTTCCTGATGACCTGGAGTGTGCATGCTCACAGCACCACCATCAGTCTGTCACCGGGAGGAATAGCTTGTTTCAGCATCCTTCTGAAAGCAGCCTGGCCTGGGCCCCTGCTCTCTCTTGCTTCTTGAGCTCAGAGCAAACAAGGCTGTATGAACAGGAGCAGGGGGTGGCATCGCTCTCCTAGGACTGTTAGTGATGCTGGGTCCACCTCCACATTGGAGGACTTGGGGGCCATCCTGTGTGGTGGGGAGGATGGACTGATGACCTCTGAGTCATTCTTTGAGAGGCTTACAGAGCTCTGAACTGTCAATAGCTGCCTTTCTGGGTAGAGGCAGCAGCTCCCCGGCAAGGCCAGCTTACCGTCCATTATGGGCTTTTGACAAAGTAGAGTGACCTTAGCTTACGACATTCCCAAATATCACAGATTTCCCTGGAGGCCTTTGTTGTCATTTGTCATGAGGTAAGGGTGTTAACAGAGAGGGTTGTCCCAGCCTGTGCGGGAGGGCTTGTTCGCCCACCTGGCCTGGCCCTCTGTGGGAAGCAGGCATATGCATCTTTTTCCCTGCTCTTCTCTGCTGAGGATGGGGCCACCAGGCAGGCCCCCTTGGGTGTGACAAGCAAGTGGACAGAGCTCTGTCTTCAAGGCCCGAGGACTTGGGGCTGGCCCTGACTCCAAGACCATGGGCAAGTTACCTTCTTTCTCTTATCTCAGATCTCCTTCACTTTGAGTGTATTTGTGGCAAAGGGGCTTTGCTTGTCAATACCCATTTTGATCCCCTTCTAAAGACTCAGTCCTACACCATCCCTATGTCCCTTGTCTTACTCCCCAGTGACCATCTGTAAGCCCAAAAAGCCACTTGTGAGAACTGGAACCAAGCAGTAGGTGAGGCCTAGTGGCTTTGAAATGAGAGTGAGCTGGGTTTAAAGACACTTAAAGCTCTGTGACCACAAGCAAGTCATTAACCTCTCTGAATATCCTTTTCTTGTCCATAAAACAAAAGGTGTATGTGTTGGGGGATAGGGGTTAACATAACATAAGAATAAAAACTAAAAAAAAGAAGTAAAAGAAATGAAATAAATGAGTACAACAATGGTTCTGCCTCAGGAGGTTGCTGGGAGAATCTTGCCTGTAAACCCCTGGCCTACCACCAAATCTTGATACCTGTGTCTGTATAAGGCCTAGGACCAGGCCTCAGCTCCCAGTCCCGGGCGCCCACTGCTCTGTAGGTCCCACTGTCTTCCTCTGCAGCTGGAGGTTTGACTCAGGGCTCCTCTGCAGGAGGCATTACTTTTGGTGGGAGGGAGATAATCTAGGAACCTGTCAACTCAGAGATCAATTTTTGCCTCTGTTTTGGCTCTCCAAGTGGCGGGGGGCAGCACCTCCAGGCCAGAGCAGTTGACATGACTTGGTGGAACAGGGTTCAGTTTGAGCACAGAAACTCTCAGGGCCCACCTCTTGTCCAGGTCCCTAGCCAGAGCCTACTAGTTCCAGGGGACCAAGGAGAAACCCACAGTAGCCCTCCACAATGTCACCCCAGACGATGTCTTCTGCAGCCCTTCCATTTGGAAGAGATTGGAAGTCAGCAGTTTAGCAAACACCATGCTGGTAATACATTCTGTGTCACAGCGGCCCACATCTCACCATCGATTTTTCTTTATTGTGTTCCTTCATATTCGAAGCCGCCGTGCATTTTAAAGTAATTATTGAATGGCATCCTCGATAGAGCTTAACACAAATATCATCCCAAATGGAGCTGATTGATTTTCAATACGTTCAAGTGCTTCTCTCCCTTGTGCGTAGGGTCAGCTATAAGACGGCATATCGGCGCGGCCTCCGGACCATGTACCGGCGGAGGTCCCAGTGCTGCCCCGGCTACTACGAGAATGGAGACTTCTGCATTCGTACGTAGAGGCTGCTGCTGTCCCAGCCTTGGTGGGATGGGGGAGGTGGGACAGAGGGGCGGGAGACAGGGTTGTTGTCCAAGGCACCTGGGCATCAGGCCTCAGTCTGCACCAGGGCTCCAGAAGTCTGTGCTGCCTGTGTTCAGAGAGGATGATGGGTTTGGTGCAAACACTTTATCAGGGGTTTAACCATCAGATCAATGTCCTGTCAGCAGGGTGGATGGAAGCAGCAGTTCTAGGTCCTAATGGGGATGGGGCATGGATGCTTCTGGAAGCAGCCTCTGAAGAGCAAGAGGAGAAAGTGCTGAGCTGCTTTGCAGCTTTGAGGGTGGCGGGAGATGAATGGATGAAGGGCAGGCTAGTTGGATGAATGGAAGCAGGAGAGGGAAGAAGGAACACAGGCTGCATTGCCTGACGGCAAAACCACAGTCCCTATGAGGGGGCTGGCAAGGAAAGAGAGACCAGGAGGTGCAGTTCCATGCCACTGGGGGGAGGGGACTTCCGAAAAGGATTGGAGGACACTGCGGAAAAGATGGGTGTGTGGATGACCAAGATTACTTCTTTCCCTATTCGTTTATAGCAACTCAGAAAATGGGAGCTGTGAGTGGTCCCCAGAAAGATAAGAGCTGGGTCTTGGCAGCTGCAGGCAGGGGACATGTGGTCCCATGGGAGGCACCAGGAGTGGAGGTTCTGATCCCTGCTTCCCAGCCATGTAGCTTTGGGCAAGTCACTTCACCTACCTGGGAGGCCAACTGTGGAGTCCTGTTGGAGTCTAAGACTCCCCGGTCACACCTACCAGTGGAGTGGAGCCCCGTGGGGATATCTCAGTGAACATTTGAATGACTGTAGGTTGTCAGAGAAGCCAGGAGGCCTTCATTTAATGACTGCAAGGAGAACCCACCCTAAAGCGCCTGCCTCCTCTTAGAGAGCCATGGTCCTCGTTAGCATTCTCCTTGCCATTCGGTGGGCAGAGGGGACCCCAGAGAGAACCTGAGCCAGGTGGGTGTGTTCATGTTGGGAGCCAAATGATAGCTTTCCTTCCTCTTGGTACATCACTCTCCCCACCCCCCGATTACAAGAATGAGTAAAAAATGCTCCCACAAGTGACTTCAAAAGTGATGGCTTTGCAGAACAAATACAAAGAGACTCACACAGGCAAATTCCAAGGCTGTCTCAGGGGCAGGGCAGGGGACCAAGTCAGAGCAAGGCCTGGGCAGGGGCACCTCTCCTGGGATGCATGACTCCGGGCGTCTGGGGGACTCAACACTGAGCTCTCTGCTGCTCCTGAGGGGAGCAGGTCAGGCTGGCACAGGGCAGCGTGTGGCGCCAGGCCAGAGTGATGGACGCAGGAAATTATGCAGGAGGTTGAGCGTCAGCATGGGCTCCAGAACAGATGAGCTTGTGCCCTTCCTAATTCCCACGAGTAGATGCTGGGGACATTCTTGGAAAATGAAGACAGGCAGAAGTGCCAAGAGCCTAATTGTGTGGCGCAGGCTTGCTGCCTGAAGGACATTTGACCACTCGGTACCCCCAAGCCCCACACTCCCTCTACAGCCACAGGCACTGCCTGTGGAGCTGTGGCCACAGGCCAGTCCCTAGAAGCCCAGCTCGAAAGGCACTTTTAGGACTGAAGGCTTTTCCCAGAAAGGGCTATGGCATTTCAGCAGTGAGGCAGGACACTGTGGCACTCTGAGTGCTGGCAGTGTGACGCAGGGCAGGCAGGCCTGGGTTTAAATCTTGCTGTGCCCTCCCAGCTTCTCCCTCTTTGTCTTCATGGAGATCCAGCACACACACTGTATGTCAGGCCCCATTCTGATCACTTTCCACACATGGAGGCATCTACTTCTCACAACAGCCCCTGAGGTTGGTAAACTTGTTCATTTCTCAGATGAAGAAACTGAGTCACGGAGGATTAAGTAACTTGCCCAAGATCACACAACTAAAAAGTGGATTTGAGCCCAGACTGTTGGGTTCCAGAGGCCGTGCTCTTGGACCACGTTGACAGACTGCTTCTTGCCCCGTGAACCCAGGGAAGACTGCTTCTCTGCACCTCAGTTTCCACCCCTGTGAAATGGGCTAGTACAGCTGTATCACTAGCATAGAGTAAGGGCTTAATAAAGTCATTTCCCTTCACCATGGCATTGATCTTGCACATTTTTTTTTCATGGCTTTTACTTTAATGCTCAGAGAGGTCCATGAATACTGTCCTGGAAAAATGTACACTACATATGTACACACACACACACACACACACACACACGAGTGATCTCGGGAAGCTTGCAGCCAAGTTGAAGGAGGAGGTTCAGTGCACAGAGTGGGCACTAGAAGGGAGTTTTAACCCGGTGTTTATTAAACACCTACTGTGGCTACTGTGGGCTGCAGGATGAAAGAAAAGTGTTAGAAATGGCTCCTATCCTCATGGAATCTTCTTCCTTGTTGGGAAGGCAAGACTGACATTCCATAAAGCCAACCCATAATAGTCCAAGTGAACTTGTGGGAGACGGTGTGAGAAAGACAGACAGCTCAGGCAGGACAGAATGCTGTGACTTGCCATCACTTGGGAGGTTTTGTGTGACTTTGCACTGGACGTTGAGGGATGGAATGACCTCTTTGGAGTGGGTGGGAGAGGAACCTCACCAGCAAAGACATGGGGGTACGCAGGAGTGTCATGGGGAGTGAGGAGGCTGCCTGACCCCAGCAAGCCAGAAGGGGAGGGCAGGCTGTTGGGCCGGGTGGTGTGTTAACTTCCCAGGGCAGCTGTTCCCAAGTACCATGGCCTGGGTGTCTTAAACTTCAGTGTATCATCTCACAGTAAACTTCTGGAGGTCAGAAGTCTGAGGTCAAGATGTCAGCAGGACTGGGTCTACTGAGGGCTGTGAGGTAGGGATCTGTCCTTGGTGTGTCTCTCTCTCTCTCTCTCTGTCTCTCTCTTTCCTTGCTCCTGGAAGTTTATTGCCTGTGACAGCAATTTTCACCAACCTTCACATGGTATTTGCCGTGTGTGTGTGTGTGTGTGTGTGTGTGTGTGTGTGTGTGAGAGAGAGAGAGAGAGAGAGAGAGAGAGAGAGAGAGAGAGATCTGTCATCACATTTTTTTTCCTCCCTTTTTTATGGTACCGGGGTTTGAACTTGGGGCCTTAAGCTTGCTAGGCAGGATCTCTACCACTTGAGCCACGCCCCCAGCTCTACGTTTCTTCTTTTTATAAAAACAGAGGCCTACTGGATTAGGCTTCACCTTAATGACCTCATGTTAATGTGATTACCTCTATAAAACCCTGTGTCCCAATAAGGTCCCAATCTGAGGGACTGGGGATTAAGGCCTTAACACATGAATATCAGTGATGCAGTGCAGTGGCAGTGGGTGTCAGCCATACCAGCACCCTCCTCTTCCTGCTTGTGGATATGGGAGTGGAGGGAGGAGGCAGCCTGCCCTGCACAGGCTTGGTCACCGTCACATGAGGGAATGCAGACCCCAGCTGGGGAACTTGTGAGAGGAGGTGAAGAATTGTACCAGGGGCCCTGGGTGCAGGTGAGAAGCTTGTAAACCTGGTGTCCTCCATTCCTTCCCCTCACCCTTGGGGCCAGAAAGCCTGGTGAGAGCCCATTTGGTGCCCAGAGTCCTGAGGAGTACCCTGTGCAGGATGTCCCCTGTACCCTGGCTGGACAGGGGCAGAGATGTGACCCTCCCCCAAAACACCTTTCTGGGGCCTTTTTCTCACTGGCAGTGGAGGGACAGTGGCCCTGGAGTGAAAGCCTGGTCCGACTCTGCCAGTGATTCACTGTGCCATCTCAGGCAAGTTCCTTGGCTTCTTTGGACCAATTGTGTCATAGAATGGATCGTCTTGTGCATAGAGGAAGAAAAGACACAGTGGACGAGTGTCTTTATCTTGGAAAGCATAGAATGCGTTACGGCCATGGCCTTTCTCCCCTTTGCACCATTCCTTCTGCCTCGCGGTGCCTGCCATCCTCATCTGAGCGTCCTATGGAAGGTTGCACCAGAGCTGCCCACTCCTCCTGCCCCTCCCATGACTGACCTGCCCCTCATCAAAGGTTTCCTGAAGATTACAGGATACAAGTGTCTTTCTTTGTTCCATTCAAACAGGCCTGTGGCATCTTTGCCTCTGCACAGAGCTGCTTTTATGTCTCAGCAAAGCAGGCTATCACTTAGGCAGAGACTTGAGGCATTTGGGGAAGCTCTGCTCTTTGAAAATATCAACCTACCATCAGGCTGGATGGGGTGGGTTATGCTGCAGTAACAAAGAGCACCGGTGTTTAGCACAGTAACATTTTGCTCCTTATTCCTGTCTGTGTCCATCACGGACTTGATGAGGTCTGCTCCTTGCAACCTCGCCCCAGGATCTTGGCTGATAAAGCAGCAACTCTAGGATGCTTTGGCGAACCGGGGTAGAGAGAAGAGGGCTCTGGCTGGCCCTGAAGGCAGAGGACCAGAAACGGTTAGTGAGCTGTGTCTAGTGCTCACAATCCACAGTTCATCCAAACTACTGTCATGCGCCTGACAACTTAATAAGGACTGTGTGTGCTCTGCCCCGGGGGCTGAAGACTTGATGGTCACCTGGGGGACTTGTCCCCTGGCAGCCTGAGTATGTGTGTCTCTAACAAGGTTTCCTGGTAATGGCTACTGCTGCTGGACTGGGAACTTCACTTTGAGAGAGCCACCAGGCTACGTCACGTCAGGGGCAGGCCCTGTGCTGCACAAGCTCTTTTTTTCCAATTAAAACATATGTTTTTTTTCAGTACTGGGGATTGAACCCAGGGCCTTGAGCTTGCTAGGCAAACTCTCTTCCACTTGAGCTACACCCCCAGCCCTTTTGTTTATATTTTGCTTTGAGATAAATTTTGCTAGCTTTGCTTGGGCTTTCCTCCAACTCAAGACACTCCTGTCTCTGCATCCTGGGTAGCTGGGTTAATAGGCATGTACCATCAGTACTGGCTTATTTGTTGAGATGGGGTCTCATTAACTTTTTCCTGGTCTGGCCTTTA